CGCGCGATTGGGACTTCAGGTCGATCACGCGCGTCTCCACCAGGCTTGGCAACACCACGCGACTGAGGATCTCACTGCGGTCTGCCATGCTGCTGTCCGCGAATGCAATGCGCTGCCTGCAAGTAAGGCGGCGGCGTCCACTTGTTTCAGAAGATGTTCCCGCGGGCCCGAAGGGCGACCGCCAGCTCGAGCCGCGGCGCCGGCAGGCCAGATAAGGATCATGCAACAGCAAAGACGATGACAGAGCAACGAGGCATCGGCGAGTGCATGACCGGCCTCCGTTTCCTGCACTTCTTTCCTGTAGTTCCCCTAGCTCATCGAGCTCAGCAGATGTTTCTGCGGGTCCGAAGGACGACCGCCAGCTCGAGTCGCAGCGCCACGTGGCACGAACCGCAGAGCAAGGGCACGCGAGCATTGCTCGTGGTCAGAATCTGAGTCCCCGTGGTGCCTCACTCCGCTGGCCACCCACCAGCAGCCCTCGAAAGTGGCGACAGTTTCACAGATCGCACCCGCCCAGGGGTGGCGAGGTCTAATCTGAGTCCCCGTGGTGCCTCACTCCGCTGGACCCACCAGCAGCCTCGAAAGTGGCGACAGTTTCGCACAGGGATGGCGAGGTCTAATCTGAGTCCCCGTGGTGCCTCACTCCGCTGGGCCCACCAGCAACCCTCGAAAGCGGCGACAGTTTCACAGATCGCAGCCCCCCAGAGATGGCGAGGTCTAATCTGAGTCCCCGTGGTGCCTCACTCCGCTGAACCCACCAGCAGCCCTCGAAAGTGGCGACAGTTTCACAGATCGCAGCCCCCCAGAGATGGCGAGGTCTAATCTGAGTCCCCGTGGTGCCTCACTCCGCTGGACCCACCAGCAGCCCTCGAAAGTGGTGACAGTTTCACAGATCGCAGCCCCCCCCCAGAGATGGCGAGGTCTAATCTGAGTCCCCGTGGTGCCTCACTCCGCTGGACCCACCAGCAGCCCTCGAAAGTGGCGACAGTTTCACAGATCGCAGCCCCCCCCCCCCAGGGATGGCGAGGTCTAATGTGAGTCCCCTTGGTGCCTCACTCCGCTGGACCCACCAGCAGCCCTCGAAAGTGGTGACAGTTTCACAGATCGCAGCCCCACCAGAGAAGAGAGGAGGAGGCGGGAGGAGGCGGGAAGGAAGGAAGGAAGGTGGAGACCGCACTGCTCTATTCAAAACGAGTACCCAACGCAGGAGGGTTGGGAAAAACAATGGACGTCCTGGGGTCTCCGGGCTGGGTTTCTTGTGAAAGTTCTCTTGTGCTCGAGCCCCTACTGCAAATCGCGACGCGAGGCTCTTGGCCTTCGTCGGCCTCGGGGGGCCCTCGCTGGGGCCCGGGGCCGTCGAGAGGCGACTCGGGATGAACAGCCAGCCCTGGGGAACGGGTTGGGAACATCCGGGGGCGCCGCACCGACAAGAGGAACAGGGCAGGCGCATGTCAAGGAGGGGGCCTCGGCGCCGGGGCCCAGCTCGCCGCCGAGCCCCGGCCAGGACGCGTCGCCTGGCTCCCCGCCCAGGTGGCCCCGAGGTCTCCGACCACTCGGCCCCTCCCGGTCGCCGCGCGTCCACTCCTGAGAGAGCCAGCCTCCGCTCGTCCAGAGGTTCGTCTTGCCAGCGGCCCCTGGAGCCCGAAGGCCCCCCGCCCCTGCCTTGCCCCCTCGGCGAGAGCGCTGCGTCCTTGTTCCCTTGTCTTGTGCTGCTCCCATCGCACTTAAGGACCACCTCCCAGAAGTGAGTGAGCCCCCAGAAAAACAGTGTCGAACGAATATCGCCTCACAGGGCCCGACACGTGAGGCCCCTCCAGATTCGATACTGTCTTGGTGCTCGAAATTCTTTCTGGTGGTCAAAGCGAAAGTCGGTTGGAAAATCATAAACCTTGTCCTGGAAATCCTTTGCGCGTGATAGAAAGCATTGCGCGAAACACCTGCGTGACCACCAGCCTGGAAACGGATCCCTGGAGCCCTGGGACGCTCAAGGTTGTGACGAAAACTGCGGCGCGGTTGTGGCTCGAGCCGCCAGCAGTGTGGGTCAATTATCTGGGCGGCTCCGGACGTCCACAGTGGCCTCATGACTAATGGGGCCTCCAGTGGCCCCCAGAATCATCTGGACGACCAAGATGGTCTCACACCCTCGGTCATCGATTATCCTCCCCCGCTTCCCCCCTCCTTCGAATCTTCACGAGTCGTCCGAACTCTGGAGGGACGCCGGCGGAGAAGACGAGCGGGACTGAGAATGGCAGCCTGCACCGCGTCGGAGACGGCGCCCCACAACCGCTGCCAGGCCTCCGTGTGGAGCAAGGGTTGAGGGAAGGGGGATGACTGAGGGAGGGACATGATGGTGACGATGACGATGACGATGACGATGATGATGATGACGATGACGACGATGATGATGCTGATGATGATAACGATGGTGATGATGCTGATGATGATGATGATGATGATGGTGGTGATGATGATGCTGATGCTGATGCTGATGATGATGATGATGAAAACGATGACGATGACGATGCCAATGGCGGTGAAGGAAATGATGACGGTGATGATGAATGACGATGACGATGATGATGATGATGATGATGATGATGATGATGATGATGATGATGATGATGATGATGGCGCTGATGATAACGATGATGCTGGTGATGATGATGACGTTGATGCTGACGGCGATGTTGTTGACGGTGATAATGCTGACGCTGCTGAAGAGGTTGCAGTTTCTGCTGATGATGGTGGTGAGGATGCTACTGCTCCTTCCCAGTAGCCAGGAAGTTGTCTTTGCTGTCTTGGGCGAGGGCGACCACCTTACCAGAAAGGAGGGACGCCAGAGACCAGAGAGTGCAGCAGCCATAATCGAGACACGCACAGGCGAGAGAGGGAGGGAGGGAGGGAGACCTGAGCCGCATTGCTTGCGGCACCCACCGCTACAGCGATCAGAACCCCCAGCAAGCAGTTGCATGATCTCAGCCCCTTCTCAGTGCCAGGGCACTGCTTCTGCTGCCTGGGGCGAAGGCGACCAGCTCACCAGAACGGAGGGGGAGCGAAGAGATGACAGTACAGCAGCCAACATCGAGATGCACGTGCTCTGCACACTTGCTCACCACGGCCCGAAGGGCCGACCAACTATATGGAAGCACCAACTATCATCGTCAAGACAAGCTCAGTATTACAGAGCCAAGTGAAAATCCCTGGCGTCATGGAGGTCGTGAGCCGCTCGGATCAACCAGTCCACACCCTACGCCACTTCCACATGTGGAGTGAGTGCGATCTCCACGCTCGATCGGACCTGACTCATTGGCTTGGCCAGTTTTCAGGCCCCAAACGCACCAAACACCGATCCGTTGCGCGGCCCCTGGGCCTCCCGTCGGCGCCTTCCCAGGAACCTGAGGTCATCTCACATCGTTTTCCGATTGTACTGGCGCCTGGAAACGGGCCCCAGGGGCAGAATGTCGCGGAACAGCTCGATCCGCTCCGATTTCTGTCAAGGCGCTGGAGGTCTGCGAGGTCCAGGGACCGGTCCCTGAAGAACCCCACGGCGTCGCACACGCAGGAGGAATCGACCCACCACCCCCCACCACGCATGCGTGGCCAGGGCCATGGGGCCTGGCATGACGTGTCCGCCTTCCCGTCCTCGACCAGGAGCTCTATACACACCGTGAGACCCGACGCTGCTGAAAATGCAACATCGTCGAAAATCACGACTGCTCTAGACCCCACAATCATTTCTGCTGGCGTTTTCGGGCTAGATGGATCCGTAATGGTCCCGTGGCCCGGACCCAAGCAAAATCGCCCGGTGGGGAAAACATTGCAAAGCCAAGATCTCAGGGGTCCTGGCGCGTTGGACGGCCCTGGCCAGGCATGTGACGCACGCCGTCTGCAGGGGGGGGGGACACTGACATGGCATCGGCGGTACATCCTGGAGAGATCGGCGATATGCCCCGCGAGGGCGAATCCGCACGCTCGTGGGCGGGGCGGGCTATCGGGCTCCCATCGGCGATCAACGGGTGATGGGGGGATCGATGTCCCCCCCCCCACCGAGCCCCCCGAGCCTGCCCCCCCTGCCGACCCCCCCCGCCGACCCCCCCCTCCCCCCGAGCCCCCCCCCCCCCGAGCCCCCCGAGCCCCCGAGCCCCCCAGGCCTGCTCCCCCTGCGCCGCGCGGGGGCCGGCCGCGCGCCTGCTGCAGGTCGCGCAGGCTGAGCTCGCGGAGCTCGCCGGGCATCAGGGAGCCTGCTGGGGCGTGTGGGTGGGTCGGTCCTCTCTCTCTCTCTCGTGGCGCTGGGAGGACCCATGACATGCTCGCGCTGCGGCTGCGAACGCACAGAGCAAAGACACGGCAGGAGTGCTGTTTGCCGTGATCGGCCCATTGGGGCCTTCGCCGGGCCACCCAGAAAACAACAACACGACAAGATTGCTGTCTGCCGTGATCGGCCCACTGGAGGCCTTCGCTGGGCCCCGGGACCGTCACGAAAGGGCTCGGGATGCAAGACTGCCCCCGGGGAGCGGGTCGGGACTTCGGGGGCGGAGTGTTGAAAGAATCGGCGAATCGAACGTCTCAGGAGGACACACGCAGTAATGATAAGGGCACTAATGATGCTGGTGATGATGGAGAACATGGAAAGGATGCTGATCATGCTGCTGAGGAGGCGGATGATGAGGATCAGGGTGGAAGAGGAGGAGGGGTAAGGAAACGGGAAGGGGGGAGGGAACGGGGGGAGGGAAGGAGGCGAGGGGTAGGAAGCGGAGGAGGAGTGGTTGGAGGGACAGGCCCAAGACCCCCGATGTCATGATTCCCAACCATCCTGTGGTGTTGGGTCCGACAGCGCCCCACGGTCCTCCCTCCTGCTCCTCTTCCTCCTCCTCCTGCCGCTCCTCCTCCTCCTCCTCCTCCTCCTCCTCCTCCTCCTCATCCTCGTCCTCCTCATCCTCGTCCTCCTCCCCCTCACTCATCCCACTCCCGATTCTGCTCTCCGCATCACTCCACCATCCCGGCACACCCCTCACACGTTTCATGGCCTCATAAAGAGCTCAACCGAAGGTCCCGCTGATACCGTCTCCGTCAACATTGTGTGAGCCTTGCAGTCGCATTGCGAAGAAAAGGGCCGCTTTCGTCGCAGTATTCTCAGCCCTCGCACTTCGGAAGTGGCCCGTGGCAGACACAAGTGTGAAGCAAATGTGCACGTTCCCTTGTGGCGGCAAGCAGCCGCACATGACTCAACTGTGGAATTTGCTTCGTATCTGAACAGCGAACCTCCTTCGTTAAAGCACACACACAATTTTGCCTTGTACCACACGTGATCTTCAGCCGCTGTGTCGACGCTTGCCAGAGTCGGTTCCGGCGCAGGCGCTGGCGACGCAGGCGACGCCGTCCCCACCGACACCAGCGCCGTGAACAGCGCCGCCGCCCGCGGCGCCTGGCTTCGCCAGCCGCCGCCGATCCAACGGAGCAGCACTTGCCGCTTCCAGCGAGTCGCCTCCGGCGGCGGGGCACTCGCCGGTGCCGCTTGCGGCGCGCAGCGCGCGCGGGCCGCGCGCTCCTGTCCAGGATGTTGATGGACTTCGCGATGACCGCGGCGGTCTTGAAATAGTTGCCATCAGTCACGTTGACGCGGATGTGGGAGCCGATAGCGTTCAGCGCGGCCTTCGCAGTGTGCGCCACCACGAGAACGCCCGCGACCTCCTGGATGCCGGAGAGGGTGGCTCGCCCCTTGGCGACCTCGGTGCCCTGAAGGTCTATTGCGGGACGGATGTCGGCCGCAGTGAAGGCCGGCTCGCTGTGGGCGCCGGCCCTGGCCATGGCGCTGGCTTTCTTCTTGCGCTGCACGGGCTGCATGGTCTGCACAGTGTCCTCAAACTGAGTGGTGAGGACGACCGCAGCCTCGTCCGAGCTGTCCTTCTTGCCGTCTGGGCGGAACCGGCCACAGTCGACAGCCTTCCTCTCGTCGTCATTCTTGTCCGGGACGTATGCGCTTCGAGATGACCATGGCGGCCTTGAGGCAATCGCCGACTGTCATGATGACGCTGGCGTGGTCGCCGATGGCGTCCAGCACAACCTGGGCGCCGCAAGGGGCGGCCACTGGAGGGGGCGCACACAGGAAACTCCTGCGATCTTGAGCCACATTGGCTACAGACCAGCAGGACTCGTTGTCTCCATGGAGACTCTTGGGGCT